AAATTTTCATGTCTCAATCTCAAGCATGTATCATTTCCAGTTCATCAAGTTCATATATCTCTGGTACAAGAAAAAGTTAATATTTCTCCAAGGTTCCATAGGGCCTGTATAAGCTGTTGCGAGTTGGAGAGTGCTAACTGTTAAGGGTTCTTTCTGGCCTGTTGATGGCCGCTTCAACTGCTTGTTTTCTTGTTGCTCGATATTCCTAGACGAGTTGCCTTCGTTAACCACGGATGCCTCAAATCATATATGCAGGGAGTATAATAGCTCAGTGAAGCACATTTGCTACATCCATTGTCCTTTGTCACGCCGGAAGGTCTAGAAAATAAATGAATAGTTTTATTTAGTTGAGATAGATGACTAATTCACACAAACAGAATCTAAGTATTTTAAAAGTAAAGGAAGTGAGTATTGCAAGGGAAAAAAGTATACTTTCCAGAGCAGAATGAAAAACATCAAGTATGACGTAAATTGTCGCGAACTAAGGGCAATTATAGCAATTTGACAGAACAAAATAACTCTTTTGGTAGTCTAACCAAAACGGACTATCTGCATAAATAAAGATACTTACCTTTTGTGATAGTTTATATCATGAAGACAACAATAGCACAAAATCCACCAGCTACAGCACATCAACATGCCAATTTACAAGCTTTACAAAAACATAAAATTGTGGTGATTGAGGACAAAATGGAAAGACATTATCGAAGTGAGATCTTTGTTTACTCTAATGTAGCTTACTGATTTTCTTCTGAGAATTGTGCTCTTTTTCATTGCACTGCAGGGCTTGATGTCGAAACAGAAAGCTCATTTTCTCTTCAAGAAATGCCTAACGAAGAGTTTCTTGAAAAGCGGAATGTAAGTGTGGATATGACTATCATATGTTGGATAGTAGAAGAAGCAATCGAACTTCCCCAGAATTTGCGTTAGTTTTTGGGTCATCCTTTCTTACCAATATAGGGAATACCAAGCAAAGCACATAAGCAATCGAACATATAGAACCGATTTGAGCAAAGCAAATCAGCAACAATACGTCTTATAACAACACACTCTCAATCCGTCGCTCAAGAACTTCATCGAGAACAACAACAGTAGGCAACGGAATCAAAATCAAGCTTTTACAAGTTATGCTCAACACGAAGTTATCCAAAAATCGGAGAAACTACCATACCTTTAGGGAAGAGAGGCGAGCGGCGAAGTGGCAAGCGGCGTCGCGAGCAGGGAAGAGAGGCGAGCGGCGTCGCGAGCGGGGAAGAGAGGCGAGCGGTGTCGAGAGCGTGGAAGAAAGGCTAGCGGCGAAGTGGCGAGCAGCGTGAAGGAAGAAGGGCAGCGACGAAGCGGCGAGCGGCGTGAGAAAGAGAGGTGAGCGGCGTCACAGCGAAGATGATCTGTGGAGAGTGAAATAGCAAGAGAGGAGACGTGAAAGAAAAGAGTGATCTTTAGGGCTTGTTTTAAAAAGGGGTAAAAATGGAAGTAAACTTGATAAATGACGGTAAAATGGGAAGTTTCGAAATTTTCATTAAACTAGGGATCAGCATTCCGAGAATTCAACTTCTCACGGCACCTTCCACCTGGCATTGGCCAAAAGTCCCTTGGAAAGCATTGGAAATAGGGGTGAGCGGTTCCCGGTCCAGTCCGGTCCCACTCAAGAACCGGGAACCGGACCGAAAAAATCGGTTCCCAGTTTCTAGGATCGAGGACCGGATCGGCTAGTCCTGGGACCGTGGACCAGACCGGACCATCGGTCCGGTCCGGTTCCAATTAAACTAACTTTATTCAACCAACAATGGCTATAGTGTCCAAAAATTCTTAACAAAATACTTAACAATCACGAAACAATTACTAAATGAAAAAACCAGACCTACCTCCGTGTTCTCTCTAGTGCTACTGTCTCGCAAGTAATCCTGCATCGCAAGCTGTCGCGGAAAAGTGAAGGAATCAACTCACACGAGAACGAAAAATTCCACATCTAGACCGGACTTAAAACAGGCAAATCTCCCCCACACTCAATCAGACCAGAAAACGGATGCGAGACATGGGAGCATTTCGAAAAACCTGGACATCGTCCTTGAGCCGCTGCACCTTGGCAGCCAGCGCGTGCTGCGAGGAGGGCAGGGAGGCGGCGGAGATCGAGTACCGCCGGGCGAGAGGAGCGCTCGGCCTCGGCTGGTCGTCGGCGTTGAGCGAGGCGTGAGGCCACTGGCAAGGCCACAAGAGGGAAAGGCGTTGAGCGAGGCGTGAGCGAGGTTGCGTAAACTGAGTGAGGAATTGGCGAGAGTGAATTGGGGAGAGCCTCGGTGATTAGGGTTTGCTGCAGAGGACTCTGTTTTCTATTTTATGGGAAAGGGGGACTTTTGCCGCAGAGGCCCATAGTGGCCATAGGTAAACAGATAAAAATGATTTCTATTTTTTTCATAAATTTTAAAAAAGTAAATAAATAAATATATTTTCTAAGCAAAAAAAAAAATTATCGGTCCGGTCCGGTCCAGTTCCCGCCCTAGAACCGGGAACCGGACCGATACTCCCGAGAACCGGACCAAACCGGCCGGTTCGGTTCGGTCCCGGTTTGGGCGATCCATGATGCTCACCCCTAATTGGAAATGCAATTGCATCTTTCCAAAGTGAGTAAAAAAAGTTATCAAACACCATTTACATTTGGCCAAGGGACTTTAGAGCTCAAATGAGTATTCCAAATGCTGAACCAAATGGGGCCGAGGGGGCTAGAACTTAGATTGAAGGGCACGAGAGTCGTTCTTTGAAACATGTTTTTTGGGTGGAGAATTCAAGAGAAGATTATAGAAGGAAGAAAACATGCAGACAAGAAGAATATTTTGGAGAGAGAATCGATGAGGACCGAAGTGTCCTGACGTGGGACAGTAATGATTACTTAAAGTGCACGAAGAATTTAATTGAACATATGAATAAGTTGCTAGCACAAGCTGTTGATTGCTGAATTTAAGGCTAAATAAAGGAGATTCGCGTATCAAGCCTAAAATAGGGGATCTCCTCTATATATATCTCGCTGTATTTAAGGCTAAATAAGGGAGATTCGCATATCAAGCCTAAAATGGGGGATGGGGATCCCTTCTGTATATATATGTGTGTTAATGTAACAAAAGAAGATAGAAAAAAGAAAAATAAAAAAGAGGGTCTGGAAGGCTTACCCGAGGACGTAAGCAAACTGCCGAACCTCGTTAATTCTTGTATTCTTCTCCTCCTCTTCTTGATCTGCGTTTAGATTGTTAACATAAGTTACGCAAATAAGACTTGTCTCCTCCTCTAATCCCATGGGCTATCAATCTAATACCTCGGATGATAATAGGGGTATACCTCATTTTGTATTCATCCAAACATGATCAAAAATATAAAATCCTCCTCCCTCTCTCTTCTCTTTTTATCTTCCAGTCCACCGCCACTGTAGCCTCCGCCACCCTCCCGATCTTTAATCTCTATTGCTCCAGCTCATTAATGGCTAGTCTCCCTCCGATCTCTTCCCTAGTTCCCTCTCTCTCTCCATCTCAACATGGACACTCAGCTCGGTCCCATGGCAGAGTGACACATTGTGTTGAGCCTTCTTTGACTGGATAGAGGACACCACCTCCAAATCTTGACGGGCATGGAGGAGAATGTGAATAGAGAGAGGGAAGGAGAGGAAAGCAATGGTTATCATATGTAGACCTGTCAAAATGGTCATAAACTCATTTCTTAACTCATAAATGATGGGCTGAGTTGTTATATGTGTTAATTAGTTACATTTGGAAAATGAGTTATAAATGAGTTTAAACATAATATAAAGTTAAATGGATTATAAATAAATCATAAGTGGGTCATAAATAGGTTTACAACTTATGGCTCTTTCTTCATTCTCTCTTGCCTTTATTTGATCTTGTGTTCTCTCATTTCACACTCTCATTTCAGTTTGGTATGTGTTTTCTTATGGTTGGTATCCGGTATAAGTCATTAGGATTGTATTGTATGGAAATAGATTAAAACGAGTTAAATGTGCCTATTAAGGCCACACCAATTTTCACCCAACCCACCCGTAGTTGACAAGTCAAGTCATATGTCTTAGTGCATCGAATGATGATATGGGGTCCACCCCATTTTGGGTATTAGGGTTTTCTTGCAAGATTGGATCGGGTGTGGATTAGAGTTAGATGGACAAGTAGTACGATCCTAAGATGGAGACAACAAATGGAACTAGAGTTCGAGACGGCGAATCTGAGTCCATGAATCAAATAAGCTTTTAAGGGCATCATCGCTAGACTCCTCGTGTAATATAGTTGATGATGAACAAAAAAAACAAAGCCATACATGATGGGCAATGCAAGAACATGAGAAGAATTCGCATTCTTGATATCCAGATTCAAATACTTTCTTTAACCAAACCAAGGAAATACCGTTTCGTTAGGAATAAGCTGAGAATACATTAGTCATTCCTATTGAAGGAGTATGTTAGAAGACCCTTCCATAAACCTAAATTAATGCAGATATCATAAAGGCGGAGTTTACCAATTCCAATTAGACCGGGAATGTAAAAACTCGCCAATCACCTCTTCATTGTTACAATAAACCAAATAAACGGGCCGGGTCAATGCATCATGGGCAGATTAATCCCGTTTCGAAATCGGACCCCTCCGGACCGAACGTGCAGTTAGGTTTAGAGGGGGTCCGTTCTTGCCGGCGGAAACACGCGTCCTCACCTAATTGGCTCAGGGTGATGACATTGCGTAACCTTGTATTCACTCCCTCAACCATAATAAGATCACCGATATTCACTTCAGAAACTCCAGAATGGAATCGTGCCCTTTGTTTTGTTGTCGGGCTCGTTCCAAAGGGCCGGTTCGACCCGATAAGAAAAAGGAGCTGCCCATTTGCTAAATCGGGCCGGATCTTTAGCCCGGGGAGCCCGCGTTCAACTCCGGCCCACGAAACGACGTATTATCATACCGTGTCGGTTCCCGCCGTTCTTCTTCTTCTTCCTCTTCTTCTCCCCCTGTTGCAGAGCAGAAGCAGAGCAAGGCACGCTTCACCTCCCAGCCCCGATGGAACCGCCGGCGGCGAGCTCCGGCGAACCCTCTCTTGGCCCCTTACCGAGCCTCCCCGGTACTCCTCTCACGCGCCACAACCTCGCTTCTCTGAGATCCCTCGTCATCAACCCTTCGACGCCGATCTCCTTGATCGCCTCCGTCTTCGAAGCCCTAAGTCGCCATCTCGAGCACGGCCGCGACCCCCTCCTGCTACCGCACGCCCTCAAGCTCCTCTCCGAGCTCGCCTCCCACCGCCCTGGCCTCCCGCGCGCCGTCTTCGACTGCGTGCGCTCGCGCCTGTTCTCGTCCGAGTCGGCGCGCGCCGCGGCCGAGTCCCTCGACGCCCTTGCGCTCGTAGCGGAGCGAGATGAATCCCTTTCTTCTTCCTTGGGTGGCCAGTTCGATAGCTTCTTCGTCTCGCTCTGCTTCGATCGCTCCGTGTCTGTGCGGCGATGGCTTCTCCGAAACGCCGAGAGGTTCGGTGTTGGGCCTCACGTGCTGATCACCGTGTTCCTAGGGTTCACGAAGGATCCGTATCCATGCGTCAGGGAAGCTGCTTTGGACGGATTGGTCAATCTAAGCAAGTCGAGTGTTTTTGAGGATCGTGGTCTTGTTGAAGGATGCTATAATCGTGCCGTGGAGCTCTTGGGGGATGTGGAAGATTGTGTAAGGTGTGCTGCTGTTCGAACGGTGAGATAATAGGATTTGTAAAGTTTGCTTTTTGGTTGTTTAGTACTCTGTAATGCAATCATCATAGTTACTGTCTCTTCTTTGTTTCCATGGCAGTCCTAAGAGGTAGATTCAAATTTCGTGGCAACTTTTGTTATTTAAACTCTAAATGTTTGCTAGTCTGTTTGGAATACCAAAACAGTTCTATTTGGAAAACTGGTTATTAAGGTAACTTAGTGCTTAATGTCACACACATCGGGATAGGAACCCGAGACCTGGATTTAGATGGTGAATCTATATGCATAATGGAAGTCAAATTGTCCATTCCTATTCTTCATGAAAACGAGTACCAACAATAAGAATTATGTCGAGCCTATATATTTTAGCATGCTTCACACAAGCTTTGGAGTATTGTTTGGTATACTCAATTGCGGTCATTTTATTTTAATTTATTTCTCTTTGAGTTAGTGCTCTGAATGTTTTGTGTCATCAATCGGAGATGCATGGCTGCCCTTTAGCCATTATCATTCTTCCAAATAAACTCTTCACTAGAATATGATTTGGTGTTGATATCGCAAGAATTTGTTTTCCATTAAATAGTTGATTCCCAGTTTACACAGTGAAATCACTTTGCTAGTTGCTGCACTATATACAAGTTGCCACTCATTAATTTCATGTTGGGTGTTGATTTAGGTCAGTGACTGGGGGCATATTCTTGTAGCATCTATGCAGGGGACAGAAAAGAGAGAGCAGTCAGATGCAATATTTATCCAGGTAGGCTTGAGAATTCTCTGCTCTTGTTGTTTCCTTAAAGCAAAAAGGGCTGGAAGAATTTTGCTTGACAGTAAGCCTTGTGTTTAAGTAATTAACTTGCCAATTTGAGGCGGGGCGGAGGATCTCAGGAATTTAGCATTTACTTTTGTTCTTGAAATTGAATTTTTTACACTTTAGTTGCCAAATGTGTACTTCTAGCTTAATCTGTTCAAGTGTTCTGATATTGCACAGACAATGTGTTCTTGTAGGAGTTATTTACATTAGTTTACATGGTTCCACTGAACCTAAATCAAAATTGAAAAATCAGTAATCAAGCATGTCTTCCCGCACTCAAGATTTTCTATTCTAGATTTCATGTTTCCTTTCTGTACAATCAGTAATCATTCTCTTGTATACATTGTCAACAACACCCATGGGGATAGACATTTTAGCACTAGTATGCTTCAAGTGCATAATTATGCAAATTGGGAGTATATTAGTTGCCCCAGTTATTGTCAAAAACACTATTTCAGAGCTACATTGCAAGTTTCACCGGTGTTTCCTTAGAGTAATTTATATTTTGGCATATTTAGAAGTGGCTTTATCGTGTGAGTTGGATTCTTGTAGACCATGTTTAATTGTGAAACTTGGTTTTATTGATATTCTTCGCTGTGCAGATCTATCTTTGCTTTTAATTTGGTTGTTCCTGATAAATGATTGTAATTTCTATGGTTAATGGATGGTTTGTTGGAACGCCAAGGAGATGTGACTAGTTTATGCTTAGTCTTATGACAATTTGGACATGAATTTGTTTATATACCACTTTTTCCTGAACTTTGTATTCTTTTCATATTTTCCTTGAGTTAATTAATAGAATTGAGTGATTTTGTCTATTCCGCGATAAAAGCAATGTCAATTGGTGAATTTCACTCGACTCCAGAAGTTGATACTTTTTATTAATTAAAGTTGGAGATTTACTGAAGTTTATTTTTACTTGAGTTGGACACAACAGCTCAACAACTCGGCGTAAACTGTAGTGAACGGAATACTCAAAATAGGCATGTGGTTCATGGGTTTGGTGTCAAGTGTGAGCAAATTTGAACTTGTTAAGTGGCAATGTGAACTACTTACGGTCAAGTCTTCACCAATCTCCTTTTTTTGGGGGGTTGATTTGATTATAGGTGAGTAGCTTGATTTGTTAAGACCTAATCTGCACATACATTACAATGTTTTAGCTTGAGCTTTCTGAAACATGGGTTGTCATCTTGAAGTGTATGTTTATCTTTTCGTACATCAAAGATTATGGTCTCTAAGATGGCTTGTTTAACTACATGTGGTCATCAGCTTTGTTCTATGGTCAGAGATATGAGTATGGAGGTTAGGGTTGAAGCATTTGTTGCCCTTGGGAAGACACAAACCGTTTCTTTGAAGAATCTGTTACAAAGCTTATCTAAGAAGGTCCTAGGTAGTATGAAAGAGAAGAGATCTGTGTGTCAATTGACAGGACCAATTGAACTGTCCGCATCAAGTGTTGCAGGTGCTTTAGTGCATGGCTTTGAAGATGAATATTATGAGGTAAATTTGTGGACTTCATTTGTACATCTTTTCCATGTAAAATCACCTATGTTAATTGAACTGCCTTCTTGCATTGTACAATTCAGTTGTATCTCTCTAAGTCCTCCGGGTAATGCTAGAGACTAATACTGTTAGCTTCCATGAATGATTAAAATGTAATTATATCTATGCCTTTGATGTGCAAATTCACTTACGGTCTTAACTAGCATGATCTCTGAGATTGGTCTCTTATGTGTGTATACTAATATTATGGATCCAGAGCATATCTAACTCTTTAATTGAACTCTACAGTAATCAAAGAACAATAATCTTCCTATGTTTGGATGATCACTGGGGACCATCTCCAATGGTCTAAGAACTCCCTTTAAGGCCAGACATGCAAACATGCATATTGCTGTCTCTCTTAAGTTGGAAGTCAAGCTCTATATGTTAATCTAACGTAATTTAGTGAATCGAAATACATCTGACGAGAGAAGAGAACAATTAAAAGCGAGAACCAAAAAAATGGGGATATGGATATGCAGATTCAATATCAAGACTTGTAGGCACTGACATTAAGTAATTCTGTTGTTTTACTCATGGGAGAATTTTGATTTGATAAGAAAGCTGGTCAACATGTACAATACTTTGTTTATGCTGTTGTGAGCATTAGAACAACCTGAAGTTTTCTTCTTCCAAATTAAGTTTACATGTTGATATATGTCAAATTTCTTCTTCCAAATAGATTTTTCTTTGAATTACATACCTTTATTTGCTTATTTTTCTATCTGTCCCTTTTTTGGGGCATTTTAGCATTAGTCTTGTATGATTGCTTTAACAAGTGGGATCTGTTTGTGGTGAATCCAAAAGGTCCGAAGGTCTGTTTGCGACTCCATGCGAAGGTTATGCATGATTTCTTCTGAATTTTCTGGTGAGGCTATAAATTTGTTGATGGATATGCTAAATGACGATTCAGTGATCGTCCGCTTAAAAGCTTTGGAAACGATGCGTCATATGGCAACCTGTGATCATCTTAGTTTGGAAGTAATGCACATGCACATGGTGAGCTGAATCCATTCTTTTTATTTCTATTGTGGGCATTGCCAGCTGAGATCTATACATACGGAATTTTCTGAATTGTAAGTTCAATTGATTTTGCAGTTCCTTGGAACTCTTGTTGATAAAAATGAATTGGTACGAGCTGCAGTGAGGAAAGTACTTAGATTTGTGAAGTTGCGCGATCTGGAGCTTTTTAAATTATCTGTTAATGGCCTTATAGAGAATCTGGAGACATATCCTCAGGTTTGTTATCTTAAATGAATTTGAGTTCTTTTGTTTCATTTTACAGCTCAAAGCTCCAATAGAAAAGGTTCATGCTGTATATTTATTTTTTTAATTCTAGTTTAGTACTTTGATCTTCTTGTCACTAATGGCTTGAAGGATGTCTAATCTGCAAATTCTATGCCTCCCAGGATGAAGTTGACATATTCTCGGTACTCTTCCATGTTGGTCAACGGCATGGGAACTTTGTAGCTTGCTTTATCCATGAAGTTTTTCATGAGGTTAGCAGCTCTCTCTCTCTCTCTCTCTCTCTCTCTCTCTCTCTCTCTCTCTCTCTCTCTCTCTCTCACTGTGAGGAGCTGGCAAGTACATCTAAAACTGCTTTAATTCATTTTAATTGTTGGAGATGATTTTTTTTTAAAGTTTCCTGTGGCTTGGATTAGAAGTGTGTAGCTTTGGACAACCTTCAACTAAATAGAGTGGCTTGTAAATTTTGAAATCATATGATTGAATTTGTCATCAACTGGAAGAATCTTGATCTTCATTTGCAGTTAAGTTGCTGCTTTAAGCTTCATATAATCCTCTAGTCCCTTGTACTATCTTGATCCATTCATTTTTATCTAATCTTTTCTGTTCCTTTGGATCAGATGGAGCCTTCTTCTGATGGCAAGTTGAGCTTTGATTGTGCCAGAGTAGCTGCTTTGCTTGTATTATCCATCTCGGCCCCTATCTTTGCTGAACAAAATATTGGTGAAATTCCTCCGAGAGTTTTTTCTTATGCAGTTACCCTTTTGGGGAGGATCTCTCATGCTGTTGGGGATGTTACTAGTCAAAATGCCCTATTCGCATATTTTTCTCAGGGAAGTAGTTGCATGGAAGATAACATTTCTGAATATGGAGAGCAGATATTAGCGAATATGGGTAAAGATGGGGCTGCAAGTTTAGCTAGCAACGAGATAAATGATCTTGATCAGTTTCCTCTGGGGGAAGCTAGCTTTGAGCACACGAAGACGTATGCCCGGAAATTCTGGCAGCCAACGGAGGAACCAAAGTTAACTGCAGAACAGCTACAGATTCATGATGATTTGACTGAGTCCCTGAATGGTATCTTTACCAAGGTCAAAGCCATCTGGCACTTGGTAAAAGCAGGTTTTACAAATGAAGTATTGAAGATTTTAAGGTAGTATTATGACAGGGTCATTATTTCTTTACACCTATTATGAAATTGAGTTGGTAGTTTCTACTAAAGTTGTTTGGATTAACATCTTGCTGGACCAGCATTCAGATGCAATATCAAATTTGTCCTGTTTATACTACTGATAAAATTTTGGCCAAAGAAAACTGCTGATGTCTGATGAAACTTGAACATGAATACCTGATAATCATTACTTATTGCGATGTCCATCTCCCTGTCTTACTCAAGCTGTTATTTGGCTTGGTCCAAACAAATCCAGAGTCTAAGTTCAGTTTGCTGTTTATTTTCTCCACATGAAAACCGCCGGAGTTTTATAAAGATCAATTGGCAGTTGATATTTAAGAGGCTTTGTTAATTAGGAAACTGATAGAGACTGGGAGTTGGATTGTTATTGATCAACTTTCTAAGGTCTAGGCACTATAATGATTGAGATTCTTGTTGATCTTTGTCTTTTATCATTTTTCTTTTCCAAAATAAAAGATACTCATTGTAAACATTGCAATAAGTTTAATTATTTTGTGCCCAGTCAAATCAATCATGTACGAAAGTTCCATATGAGTATTCAGTATGATACATAGCAGTTGGATTGCATGCCTTCCCTTGGGAAATGATGCAGGTCCTATTTGGCTACTTACCACTGTAATGATGTTGATTTTGTCTCTGTTTTGGGATAACTTGTGCTTCTAACGTTTTTGTTTCTGCATTAACTTCAATTGTTTGGATTTGACTCTTATTGGATATCAAATACCTCAAATTTTCACCAACATATACCTATTCATTTAAAGTCGTACTGAAGTTATTCCATTATTGAGATATTAAGATGTTATTCGATTGGGGCCAACTTTAAAATATATTCTGCTTTATTGCAAAATTTCGCTTTTTCTATGCTGCCTTAAATTTCCAATGTTGATTCATGATCCTCTTTCTTGTAATCCTTTGCAGTTCCCGATTCTTGTAACTTGAATCATATCATTTACTGTCCCCTCTGCCCTATGCATGTTTCAAATTCGACTAGTTGTGCATATGTATGAGGTTGTTTTGCTACAATGATTTAAACCTCCCTTTTGTCATAGGGTTTGTGAGGAAGAGCTGGAGACACTAGAGACAAAATGCATGGGTTCTCCAGCATTAGCATTCACTTTGCAATATATAAGGGCTTTGAAGTTGCTTGCTAGCGTTTGGTCCTATTTTCATCCCACCTTTGGTCAGTGTTGTAGAGTAGTTGGTCAGCTGGACATTCTACTGGTAAAGCTAGAGAGGACACTCAGGGATATGAAGTGCAGGTTCACAGGGTTGTCTAAAGAAGATGAGTTGTACCTCATGGAGCTTACAAGTGTTTCCTTGACATTGAATTTATCAATATTAATGACAGGCTGCAGCTATATTGTTAATTTGAAAAGGCTAGCAGCTGTATTGTCACAGGTGGAGTGCCTTCAACAAGAACTTGGTGTTGAGCCATCTTCTTTCCTATCTGAACTGAAGAAGTCAATGCCTGATATTCATTCTGCTGCAGGCAGCATGTTTTCCCTTCCCCATTTCTTAGGGAAGATGCTTGATGCTTTCTCTCTTAAGCAATTTGAGCTCTCAAGAACACTCCTGAGCTTATTTGCAGAAATTACTGTCCCTGATAATGATTCAGAAAACCCTATTCATTTTATTCATGGTTTACCTGTTGGTATACGACTAGAGATTACTTTGCGCAACATCTCCAGGGAGAATAGACTGTGGCTAGAGATGACGATGGGAAAAGAGTCAAAGCAGTTTATCTTTCTGGACCTGAAGTTGTTTGGAGGATCCAATGAGTTGAGGAAAGTGACCTATTTTGCTACCTATTACAAAACTCCAAAAGCAGTGTCATTCTCCTTGAGAGTTTGTATTGGAGTGGCATGTCTCCCTGATGATATTCATGCAGGCATGAATAATGGGGGACCAAAACGTGAATTGACTTATCTTTCTCCTGAAAGAGAAGTCTACTTTTCTGCTGAATCTCAGAAGTTAACTTGAGCAATCGAGGTGTTAGACCATTATTGTCAAAGCATGTGCACCGTGTGAATATCGTCTTCATCATCAAGAGCAGCACTAGGCGCTGCTATCATATTTAGACTCTGGGAAGCTTCTAAATGAGCAACAAGAAGTTCATTTCTTAGAGACGTATGTTTAACCTTACATTACATCTGTTGAATTGCTTGTTAATTCACAGTATGCAATTTCAAGTACAGAAGATTTTAGACTAAGATTGTAGATCCTGTCCTGTAAGTTGTCTATTCTGGCAGTTTGTGACTAATCCATTATAGGGATATGAACAACATTGATGGTAGATAAAGGAGAGGAATTATCTCCAAGAATCAAGGCAAAGGTAGAGTAAGCAAAGATGTCTAGGTTGCAAGAGCATGTATTAGGTATGAGTTTGAAGTTGATTTTGATGATGATAGATTTGTGGCAGATTTGGGAGGGAGGACAAGTGATTGTAGACAGTGGGATATCTCAAGAATACACTGTAGCCATATGTATTAATTACGTGAAGTACGAGGTTAATCATTATGTTGATGATTGTTTGAAGAAAGATGCATACGAAAATGTTACCAATTTTTATTGCCAACATTGAATGGGAAGAAATATGTGGCTAGTGTCCACTGAAGAGCTGATGTTGCCTCCTCCATTCAGAAAGCTTCCAGGGAGGCCCAGGAAAGAGTGCAATAATTCCAAAGGTGCGAAACCTAAGAAAATTTGCCAGGATTATAATACATTTGTTACTTGAGTATGTTCACTGAAACTTATATAGTTTTTTCTATTTAGGGTGAAAAGGGGAGACCAAGAAAACATCTGAGACCAGCCAAGGTGGAAGGGACAATCTAGCAGACAAGCAGATACTAATACAAGAACTGGAGCTGTCAGTTCCCAATCCAATGTTAGTCGATCTGAGAGATAAAAGGTGAGTAGTTCATTTTTCTTCCATTATGACCAGACTAAGGGCCCGTTTGGCAACTTGCCAAATAGTAAAAATTTATGTTTTTTTGTTCCCAGAATCAGTTTAGGAATAGAAATCCGTTTGTTAAATTTTTTGTGCCCGGGCACAATTTTGCAAAAAATTGTTCCCAGAATTAGTTTTGGAACATAATCAAGAAGCAAAAAAAAGTAGCTTCTTGATTCTGAAACAATTTTTTCATTTCTGATTTTTCTTGATTTTCTTCTTTTTTTTGGTTTGTTGTTGTTCTTTGGCCTGCCGCTGGCCACCCGCCAGCCGCCGGCCGCCAGCAACCGGCCACAAGCCAGGGCCGGTGAGGGTGTCGCGACCCTCGCCACCTGGGCGAGGGCAGCTCGCGGCCGCGACGGCGAGGCCTCGTCCAGCCAAGGCGAGGCCGGCGGCAAGGGCCGCGACGCCCTTGCCGGCCATGGTCAAGAAAGGGAAGGGAAAGAAAGGAAAAAAAAGAAAGAAATATTAAAAAATTCAAAATATTATTAATAAAATGAAATTTTATGTAGTTACCAAACGTATTTCTGTTCTTTTTCTATTCTAAGAATAGAAATTTTGGGCAGTTACCAAACGCCTTCAAATGCTTAGAAATTGTTTCCGGGCACAGAATAAAAAAGAATCATTTCTGAGCAGAATCTGTTTCCAGGCACAGAATGGTTGCCATGCGCAGCCTAATATGCTCAATTGGTTTCTTTGTATGATAATCCACCTGCAGCTTCGACCTAGATATGGTCTTTTTGTATTAGAATCCACTAGGAACTAATATTTGAGAGTATAACCTTTTCAAAAAAAAATTATTTGTATTTTCGAAACTGAACTGGGCCAGTTGTTGTATGATTCTTTCAATGCACCAACCTCCATCATAACATGCTTTTTGTTTGGTAATTCAGATGCCTTGTAGTGGCATAATCCACGAAATTATAAGAGGGAACGCAAGTCATGCTCCTGGACCCTCTGCAACAAAGACAAGTCATGAATCACTTGAAGCTTCTGGACACTCTGCAACTCAAGATTCTGCAAGTCATGCTCCACTCTGAATCTGCACCTGGACTGAACTGTGCAAAAGTTGGATGTGCTGCAGTTGGTTGTGCTGAAAATGGATTTGCTGAACTATGGATATGCTGAAGTTGAATTGCTGAACTTTTGATGTGCTTCTGGACCCTCTACACCTCTGCTGAACTTTAACAAATGGTGTTGGTAGATGCACTTTGGATTAGAAGAAGTGATGACTGAACCATGGCAGATTTAATGTGAATGGTTGATATATTGAATTTTGGAGTTTGGGAACAGCTTTTTTCTGTTTCTTTAAGTGATCTTGCATTCTTTTTAGAAACAGGTGAAAACTTTTATCTACCTTCCCAAGGACTGATAGTTCCTCAGATGATTACGTGTTCTCGTGTCTATGAACTTCTTAGTTCATACTTAGCGAGGTGTATAGGAACACCTGATTCAAGGTTGAATTAGATTACTGGCACTGAACAATGAAGGTTTTCAATGCTAGAAAAAAGTTCCACAAAGATATTATTTTCTCAATGTGTTTGAAAGATGCATTTCTGGTTAATACTATGTTCTGTGGATGGTGCACAGCAAATCCTTCCTCTACTACAATACTCAAAATTCCTTTTGCATTGAATGAAGCAGGATGAACCCAATAAGCTCTAAAAAGGCCGAAGGAGGGAGATTAATAATTTATCTTGCACAATGAATCATTTTGTTATGAGGCTCAGTAGATTAGGTTAGAACAAAATCCAATTTCATACTTTTTCCCATATGAAATGACAATTCAAAAGTACTGAGTTTACTTTGACAACATTTGACAATCCTTTGGCAGGCTGATGGTTCGGTATAGCCAATGCAGATTATTCTTTTCTTTTCAGGGTTCATTGTATGGATGTCTACTGTAGTGTAGACAACTTACTTGGAAGGCAGTCTGATTTGAGGGGAGCTTCATCTTTGCATGTAGTTTTGCCGTTTTTTACATTACTCTTGACATGCCATTGAGAGGCAGCAGAATCCAGAAAAATATGTATAGTTCCCATGAAACTTACGAGTTACACGACCTAATTTGAATAATCGTTGGGTGCTATTTCAATGATTTTCGATTCTTGCAAGCATCATATGCACTAGCTGCACTTGGAGAGTGGACTTTCTCCTCAAATGCTTGAATTGAGTTTCCTTCCTTTCCATGCTCTTTTCAAGACTTAATTCCCATTGATCGACAAACCACTTCTCTCTCATGCAATGAGGACCCAGGATCAATCCATTAACAAAATCCACAATCATCAACTTGTCCAAGACAAGAAGAATTTCAGATTCAACAATGTACATCAGGCTCAAGTTGAATGATTGGAATCATCTTCCCATAGAAGCCCAGAAGCAAATTTTCAATTAGTACATTCCTCCGTTGTAAACTTGCACTTAGCATTAGGAATGACAAAGACCTCTAAAATTAACTTACGGCAAACCAACAACTTAATATGGGCAAGGGGAGCTTCAACAATGCATAGCACAGGTCAAATCAACCACTCGAAAATTAACTTTGAGAGGTATAAATCCATAATCAACAACGCACAAACTTTTCAATCCCTAATCTACTGCTGAAAATCAACAACCCTTCACCTCCCACAAAGAGCAGACATAGAACCTCCCCTTGGATTTTTGGAGCTCCATGCTTATAGATTGAGCCACCCTTAATGTTTGCACGATATGGGACAAACTTCATTGTTAAAGCTATCACGTGATGCGACGTTTATGGTGCTACTCCCAATTGAATTCATGGATAAACCCTTACCCCAAATTCGATTATGCTTGCCCCAAACTATTGCAAGAACCTTAACCTTAATCTTGCCCCATTTCGCCCTAATTTGCTCCTTTAAAAACACAATATGGAGAAGTGACTTGAGCGAGTACCCACGTTAAATCTATTTATGTGGTGCTGTCCACACATGTTACCAAGTTGATCTTTAACGGTCATTAGAGACGGAATTGTGACGAAAGGTACTTTTGGTCGCCGGTACAAGTTTTGGAATATTTATGAGACGAAAAAAAGTTTCAGATTTTTGGTGGGATTTTTACTTTATTTAGTGAATGAATATTAGAAAAATACTATATTTGTCCTCAACCCTTATTTCATGGAATATATTGGGCTGCCCCAATTTGAAAAGATTGGTCATTCGCTTGGGCTTCGCCTTCAAATGGGCTTTTCTTTCATACAAATTGTTGTGGAATATTATCTAAACTTCGATGTCGCAACCGGTATTTTGTGCATGCATGTATGCATAATTAGATGATATCGCTTGAAATTTGAAAGTCAATTAGCTTTTATCATTTGCAAGGGTTCCTACAAAATTAATAATACATCAGTTAATCTAGAAAGATGAATAATAAATACAAGGGTCTTGTTGAGAGTGCCCCGAAGGCACTAGCTAAGTTCTTTAAAAGGCGAAATTAACAATTTTTGAGACACCTTGAAAATTGAAGAGTTGCACATTTTAATAAAGTCACTCGCTTCAAATAGTAAAAACATCAAATATGAAAGCACCTTTTATGAGAACGTTTTCCTGAAAAATCATCTAAAAATTTCTAACTTTGGTAAAACCATATCCCTACCAAAAGGTCATATGTTTAGTTAAACATGGGCATGTCGAGTTGTGTTTGTCATTCATTCATCAACTCTGAAGGCTTAATGTGCTCGACATTGGGCTCGGTCGGATCCCCCCATGATGGGCCGACTCGAACCAGCCCGCGATCTGCTCACCCCATTTTTTTTGTAGGTACGCACAAGGGGTCTTCTTCTTCGTCTATACGAATAAGAGACGAGCAAAATAGCAAAGAACGACCAATTGGTAGCTTCATAAATTAATTTCCGTGGCTAACAATCCATCATCAGGCGCATTGTCTGATCAAGTGGCAGAATTGGCCGTGAAAACTTGAACATTTGCGGATTCTGTGATTGTGTCTTCAACCATTGGTAATACGTGCATTGATAAAACCATCGTTGATTACGGGAAGCAAAAGATACGACATCACTAACTATGAAACCCGAAATAATGAAACGAGTGCAGTATGTAAGTACACATAATATTTCGCATTGTGCTCGATCGACAGTGCAATACAAAACCCTCGTTCCGGAATTGCATTCTTAGGGAGTTAAGGAACACTTTGTCTCTTTCTTCACTTCTTCTGGCTGAATGAAGTCCGTTTATGTTTTAGATATTCCCGGGGAGCATAATTGCATTCGCGTACTTTTGAGGCAGTGATGATGAAAGGCGGGGATTAAGAAATTTGGGTTGTTTGCAAAAGTCAAAAGTGAATTTTGATCAAACCGAGGATAGTGTTAGAGGGGACAAAGAACGATGATTTTACACTTTTCTGTCCCTAGTTTCCATGTGAATATGATCTTGAACTTGTCTTTTTAGTGTGCAAGTACTAAATTAGAAAGACGCCATTATTTGGCTGCAAGAATTAAAATAAAGTAATAAAAACGAGGGGGGTGGGGGGGTGGTGGCGAGGGGGGGAAAGGAATAATAAAAAGAACAGACATGAAGCCAAACAAGAACGGCTAGCCGCCTGATGCAATAAATTTGCCTAATGTAATGCTGGCCCATGCCGTTATGAGGAGCAATCCAGCAAGAGAAAGCTGTTTGAAAAAATGGAAAAATTAGATGTATCATTATACTCTGTTCATGTAGGTACTATGTAAATCTGCCCCTGGTTGAAGGGTTGTCTGAGGCGATGGCGGCGGCGGCCGGTGGTGAGGAAAGATGGTGGCAGATTACGATTAGTGTGTAAGGGTGATCTGCAAAAGATTATGCACACAAGATGGATTGAAGTTCGATCGAGGCTATTTTCACGTCGTTTTTGGCTGGATACATGGCATTCTATGTTTGGAAATAAGTCCATCATCAATTCGCCCTACCTTTTCTCTCATTTCTTCTCTTCACTTTCTTTAAGTGAT